TAGTAACTCTTTTCCACTAGAGAGCAGTTCTGCATTAGGTCCAACACTTGCAAATTGTAAACCTTCCTAAGTATGGGCTTGCAGTAGCTCCTGTTATTGAAGGTTAGAACACATAAAGCATTTCCATTTGCTGGAATTTCTCTGTCACTATAGGCTATTTACATTTGAGAGGATAATTGCAAAAGTAATTATTTTTAGGCAACCTAACTTTTCCCCCTAAAATTCCAAACATAAAGTTGGACTAGAAGCATTCTAGGTATATAAGGGAAACTAACAGGTTGTCTCTCCCTTATCTGGAATTCCAAAGTCCAAAATATTCCAAAATATAAAATAATCCAAACGTGGGTGAAATAATGATACCTTTGGTTTCTGATGATCCATTGTATGCAAATTTGTTTCATGCACAAAATTATTAAAATACTGTGTATAAAATTACTTTCAGGCTATAAGGTGTATATGGATATGAAACATAAATGAATGTCATGCTTAGATTTTAGGCCTATCTTCAAGATATCCCATTATGTATATGCAGATATTCCAAAATCCAAAACATTCTGGTCCCAAGCATTTCTGATAAGGGAGGCCCAACCTGTACCAATTTCTCTCTCAGATGCATGTAGCTGATTAAGGCTATTGTTTCATTAGGATTCTTGGAAGCTATTAACTTGTGTCCAAGATATTAATAATTTGTTGAATAGCAGAAAATACCACCAAGGGTTGCATATATTATATTCAAAGACCATTTTGCTAGAAGTCCAGCTTTCTTAAAAATATTTATGTGTGCATGGTATCACTAGTTACTATTGTTTTTGGAGATCTCATACTATTAGGTGAAAGAAGAGTTGCAACTTTTTTTTCCTGTAAAGGCTTTACTATCTTTAATATCTATAATAAAAGGGAAAATCCAACAGTTGAATTTTATTTTACTATTACATCTTTGGGCTGGAAAATATTTAATTTGCTTTTTGATTCTTGCCTATTCAGGGCATAGACATTCTCTGAGCAATGTGTTGGAAACCCTAACCTAAAACCTTCCTACTTAAACAGAGATTCTTAAACTGGGGTCCACAGAAGGGTGCAGTTTCCCCCCTCTGATTTCCCTCCTGTTAGTTTCCATTGTCACAGAGAATTTTGAAATAAAGTATATTTTTAAGCATTTATTGTCATTGTGTTATTGTTGTAGCATATTCCTTCCAGAACAAGAAGGAACTCAGTGCCCTTAGCAGTAAAATAAATGACATGCAAGACCTCCTGCATGCATGCTTATTTGTCTTTTTCTGGGGACGGGTTCCATAGGTTTCCTCAGATTCTCAAAGAAGTTTGTAATCCCAAAATAGGACCAGAAAGATACCAGAGATGTAATAAAATATTTTACTTTTCCTTCCTTATCATTCTTATGAGAACTAACCCTTGTTTCTGTTAATTTATTCTACTGAACCTTTATATCTGTTTTTTCTTTCTCTCTAACTTTTGTTGTGTGTGTTCAGTGGCATCACTAGGGTTGGTGTCACTCCAGTGCAGTAATTCATGCTGCCAACCCCAGTCTTGAAGCCATCAGGCCCATGATCCCTCAGGACTAGACTGGGTATGGTGAGATGTTACCAGTTCTCAGAGGATTTCAGTCTTGGCAGTACTCCAGTTAGTCTTCTGTGCCTCTAAAATCTGGTCTTGGCAGAATCTTGTAAACAGTGTCACTCTCAGCCTGACTCATGACAACTGTCACCAATACAGTGTGTCTACACATGTTTGGCTCAAGAGGACCAAACTAGATATGGTGGTGCAAGGATTGTTTGCTTAAAAATGAAGCTGTCCCAATCAGATAGTGAGTTTGAGTGCTAAGTGCATCCATCCCTCATGCTTTTCTCCTCAACTGGGATAAAAACATAAAGGGATTGGAGCAGTGGTCAAGTAAATACAGGGCCTGAGCAGGACATTTTGTTCTTCTATTCTTCTGTGGTGATTCAGAGTACTCCAAACCAGTCAAATGACTTTTCCACATGAAACATGCATCTGTGCCCATCTCTGGAAATTAAAACATAATCACTACAATCAATTAATAAAAAAATATGTCTTTTCATTACACAAACTATCTGCTGCTTCACTCAGACTAATGGTAGGACCAGTCCTGAGTGAACAACAGGTAAATGGCAACAGCAGGCTCCTTCAAGCATGTTCCCCTTCCATATTTTTTAAAAATAGATTCCCTTGGGAGAGGTCTAAACTCAAACAAAAATATTTGTTTTCTTTCCTCCTCCCTTTAGCTTTGTATAAGGCAGGTGGGGGCAACAGTGGTCCTACTGGTGTTTTTGGATTGCAACTCACATAATCTTAATCTTTGGAAATAATAATAATAATAATAATAATAATAATAATAATAATAATAATAATAAATTATTTATTTATAGCCCACCCAATCACAAGGAATCTGGGTGGGTTACAGCAATAAAAATACATAGAATACAATAAAATTCAAAATTAGTCCCTTCCCAACCCCCAACCCACCATCACAGTAGTAGTTTTGGAGAAGACCAGATTTATTTGCTTATTGTGTATTTTTTTTTTTATCTTGAATTCCCAATATATATACTGGTTACGGTTGATAGAAATTGTAAGCCAAAAACTCTTGGAGGGACCTAGTTGCCCACTGCTGTTGTACAACAAGAGAGAATTCAAACTGCACATGCTGCCAACATGTGGTATGATTGTAGTACTTCTATGATATGCAGAGTTTCTATATGCAAAACTGCTTTAATCATAAGTTAGGAATGGAAACTGTGGTGTTCCAGACATTATTAGATTACAGCTACCATCAGCCCTAGCCAGCATGGTCAATGATGAAGAATGCTGGGAATTGTACTTCAACAATATGGATCACATGATTCCCACCCCTGCCTTAAGTCAACATAGTACCACATTGTGAATTCAACGTATTTGGGTTTCAGTAGAGTACCTCCATGGGACAGGTGCTCTTTTCTCCTTTAAGGCTCACCTAGAGGTAATTGCAACCCCCCTGCAAATAGGTAATTGGCAGTTTGTAATGCACCAATCTTGCAATCTAGCTGAGCAATAAAAAATTATTAAAAAATAGTAAGAAATTGAAAGGAGTCACTGTAGTGAAATCATAGAGGGAGGCACAAAGAGTTAGTATTAAGATTGACCTGAAAGGAGACCACATGTTCTTTTTATAGCACCCCGGAGAAATATGTGGGACCCAGTCTAGCTTTGCATGGGCACTAGGGACAACTGCAGCTGTCAGGCTGCTCAGTGCCAACCAGATGTTAAAGGTATTCCTAAAGGTAATGGCTTTTGTGCTGAGCATTGATCTCTAATATGTGACATTTATGATGAACTAAATGCAGATATAATTTGCACAGTGTATAGCACTCTCACAATGTAGCATCACATTTCTTGCTTTCTTTTGAATGAAAACAAGATCTAGAATTATTTGGGATGGCCAAACCATCTTTCTACACAAGGTAGATGCTGCTTCTGTGGCTGTTATTCTGTGTAATGATTGCATACATTTCACACAGTTCAATGTCTTATTAGTGTTTTAGACAGAGCTGAGCCCAGTATTTATACCAGGCCCAAGCGAATAATGCAAAGCAAGACAACAAAAAGAAGGGCACACAGTAGAAACAAACCAGTATCATCAAACTGAGATTCAGCTTCAAATATCCAGCAGGGCAAGGAAACAAATGAAGCCTGATTTTTGACCCCAATGAGAGAAACGGGTCATGTAGGAAGCATAATCTTCAACTGTCCCAATATGGCAGGGAGAGTCTTAATTAATCATCTGTCATACCACTTTTTCAGCTGCTTTTAAAATGTCCCAATTTCTCTCTCCTACTCCTACTTTATTCTTTCATCCTCAGTTTACTTCAATTGCTGCAAATTGATTTCAAAGAGTAGAGATAGTTTGCATTCAATAAACTTAGCAGAGGGAGAAGAAAACACCAAACTGCTGCAGTAGGGTCAAAAAACAGCTTCTCCTAATTTGTCTGTAGTTCCTTATTTATAACATTTGCCACCTTGATCATACTGTGATGTTGCTTGGTCACTTCTGTCCCACTTTTTATCTGTGAAATATTGAAGGGTAAGAGGAAGACATTTGCCTGCAACAGGGATGGGGATTGTGTAGTCCTCCAGATGTTGTTGGCAGCAGTGAAGAATGCTAAGAACTGCTAGGAGCTGAAGTCTGGAGGAACACACAGTTCCCACCTTTGTAGCAGGCTAAGCTCCTATGAGGACCTATTCCCAAAATGTACATCTAGGCATGCTTGGGTAGTTATGGGAAAAATATTTCCAAGTTCTGATTAAATACAGAACTTAAATGCAATGCATTCCAGCATTTCTTCTTTTTTCATTCTTATATTTGTTTGTAATGTACACAATCCCCTGAGTATGACTGCAGGCAAACAGAATAGGTCAGACCCACAAAAGTTGTTGTGTGTTGACTTTGAGCTTCAACTTATGATAACCCTAAGGTGATCATTGGGATTTCTTGGTAAGATTTTTTCAGAGGATTTGCTTGCAAGGTATCCTGATATCACAGCTGTCATGGCTCACATTCCCATGTCCAGAATTCAGACACACAGGTATGTTACTCTGAAATATCAGTATGCAAAGGGATCTTGTGGCACCTTTGAAATTAACTGCAAAAGAAAGTTTAGCATAAGTTTTAATAGACTTACATCTGAGGAAGTAGACCAAATCTATGAAAGCTAATGCTACGCTACAACTTCTTTTGCTCAGTTAGTCTCAAAGACATTACAAGATCCTTTTGCATTGCCATGGCTAGAACAACTTCTCTCGGTTGCAGTGAGGGCATGATTGTTGCTTCTGTTGTGTGCCTTCAAGTTATTTCCAACTTATGGAGACCCTAAGGTGAACCTATCATGGGGGTTTCTTGGTAAGATTTGTTCAGAGGGGGGTTGCGTTTGCCTTCCTCTAAGACTGAGAAAATGTGATGTGCCAAAGGTCATCCAGTGGATTTCTATGGTCAACTGGAGAGTCAAACTCTGGTCTCCAGAGTCTAGTCTAATGCACAAACCACTATGCCATGTTGACTTGTAAAATATTAGCAGGAGGATATCATATTCTCGAGAGCCAGTGTAGTATAGTGTTATGAATGTTCAAAGCCCTGCTCAGCCATAGAAACCCACTGGGTGATCTTGGGCAAGTCACATGCCCAGAGGAAGGCAAGAGCAAACCCCCTCTGAAATTGGAAATGACTTGAAGGCACACAAGCAAGAAAAAGTTTTTCTACTTATGGGAATGCATACGGATATTCCAGACTAACATGGCTGTGTCTCAAAATGGAAATGTTAGCCATGACAGCTGTGATATAAAGGCAAGAGCATTGTGCCTTGGCATAGATACCCTGCAAAATTTCTCATGAGGCAGTGAGCATGTATCCTTATAAATAAGGATTACTGTTTGAACAAGAATTTTTGCCTGAGGAACAATCTTTCTGTCTCTGCTATGTTTTTGGTTTCTTCCTCCACTTTCTGTCTTTTGTTTCTCACATCTCATTCCTGGTTCTGGCTTTTAGTTATGACTACTACCCTGGCACAGCCTCTGGCTTCTGGTGTTTCTTGGACAATTTTGCTTTACTCCATCTGACATTTGAATCAGGTCTGACATTCAAGTGACAGAAATGAAGTTCAGAATAAACAGGCAATGTTCCATGTATGAACCACCTTTGAAGGAATGTGGAATGTGATGCTGTGAGTTAAAATATCCCACTCCACATGAATGGGGATCAGAAGCAGATAATGCAGTTCAATTGGTAGTCCCAATTAGAGTAGATCTATTGAATAAGCAGAACTTTAGTAAGCCAACACTCTAATTCAGTGAGTCTACTCTATTTAGGATCAGCAATTAGATTTAGACTATTGTATATATCTTTACAGTTGTTAACTTGTGTGCTGATTGCTTCAGTGGATGATTAAACAGACAAATAATTGCCTAAAGATATGTCTTAGGAAATAGTTCTTTCAAAATCTTAACACAAATATTGTGAGAAATAACTCAAGAGCTCTGTAGGAAAGACAAAATAGTTCCAGATATTCCAGAAGGATATGATGTAAGCAAAATCTCTGATGAGGCATTCTATTATGCATTAATAAGCTTAGCTGCTTAAATAAATAGATGGTGGGGAAGGCTCCAGGGCAGCAAAGGGCAGCTACTATAAACAAGGGCCACACTAGCCTCTTGACAATGGTCAAAACTCTTTTGCTATATGCATACCTTGATGGCCAGGCTCATATGAAATCATAGTACTGCACAGTAAGAAGGAAATATCACAAGTCATTTATTCCAACCCTCATAACAATGAGGAATCCAGAGCGAAAGCATCTCAGATGACTATCTAACCTCCATTTAAAAACATTCAATGAAGGAGAGCCCACTGTCTTCTGAGATAATCCAGGTAGTCTATAAAGCAACGATTATTTCTTCCTTTCTTGTAATTTGAATATGGACTTTATTGCACAGATAATAAAACCAGCTTACCTGAGCTGGCTTAACATTTAAAATGAGCAGCATCCTGATGTTATCAAAAGGATTTAGCTGCCAAATCTGCTCTTAAGCACTCCATAGGCGGTTTACAATGTGTAAACTAATTGCCCCCAACAATCTGGATACTAATTTTAGTAACCTACAGAAGGACACAAGACTGAGTTGAGCCTGAGCCCCTGGCTGTTATTGAACTCACAACCTTATTGTTTTGTTGTTGTTGTTTTGTAATAAAGGTCTAGTCTGATATTTTCCCTTGGGCACCTTTATAAAAATATATATCAGATAAACCTGGTTATCTTGTAGGCATTTGCAGTTGCAATGCTATGTATAAATTATATGAGTGTAAGGCCATTGAATTTAGTTGAATTTATTTCTGAGTAGACATGCATCAGACTACAATTGGAGATGCCTGGACATCAGGATCAATCAATGAATCCCAATTGTCACTGCCTTTAAGTGATTTTGGAGCCATTTCAGCCAAATTTACAGGAGATTGACAGATTCTTTCTGGTATTTTCTGTCTTTTTCCTGCATGACAGACTTACAGAAGTTTACTTATGTGCTAGTAACTAACAGAGTAAACCTCTTTCTTCCTTAGGTAAGGTGAGCACTGGTCAAATAAATATGTTTGGTTTGGAAGTATTCTAGTCTGCATTGCTGCTCAAAGGGAGACCAGGCTGAGGCTGATTATTGTCTTATTGCAGTTATTAGTGAGGTCATATCCTAATTATTTTCAATTAAAGCTTAATCAAATGGTTGAGAGAGCATGCATGCTCTGTCTTGTAGAAATAGAGTTTCACAAAACTGCTTTTTGTTTTTCCTTCAGGAAACTTAATTTTTAAAAACAGAACAAACAAATGAACAAACCCTGATTATTGCAATATTTTACTTCACTTGCAATCCAATTGTTATTTCAATATACTAGAGGATACCAAAAACCAAAAAGGCTTGCATTCAGTATATACTGATGAGTCAGAGATTCCTCCTGCACAGCATGACATTAGGATTATTAACCAAACTGCATGTTTCCAGCCACTAAAAAGTCATTTCCTGGCATCCATATTGATTTATCACTGGTGATACTTTGAACAATTTTGGCTAAGCCACTCACAAACAATGAGATCAAACACAGAAGCGGACAGTTCTTGTCCTCTGTACAATTGTTTGGTCTGCACTTCTAGTCATTGTGCACGTTTAACAGCTGTTTCTGAATATTCCCCTACATTCCTGTGCTTTTATCACTATGTGGAAGAGTGACAGAATTGCAGTGGCATTATTCCTTGATTCTCATATATTTCCAGAAATTGTGTGTGTGTGTGTGTTCATGTGTTAGGGATTTCTCTACATATTTGCAGAGGAAATTCCTGGCACCAAGTCAGAAAAGCAAGGAGAATACCTCAGTCAATACAATTGAAATTTCAGGAAACAACTGTGTGGCATCTCTTGATTCCTCAGATCCAGGAGGAAAAAAGATGATCAAGCATGTAATCTAGGACTTTCAGTCACCTCTTCATTCAACTGCATAAGGGGCTGCCCCTTAAAGACATATAGGTTCTTTTTACACCACAACATTATAGCACTACATTCCACATTTACTACCAGGGCTCAACCTTATGAATGGAGTTGGTTTGTAGTTTCATGAGGCATTTAGAATTCTCTGCAAGGGAGCTTTACTACATCACTAAACTACAAACCCCCAGATACCACAAGATGCAGCCATGGCAGTTAAAGTGGAGTCATTGTACTACAATTGTGTAATGTGAAAGGGTTCTAGGATCCATAACAAGGAAGAATGGTAACAATACTTGGATCTCTGTTGTTTGCCAGTTAGTTTCCAGGCAGATCTCAGGGTGCTTTTTTTTTTTTTTTTACTTTTACAGGGCAAGAGAATCATAGAATCATATTGCTGGAAGATCTCACAGTACATGAGAAGTAAGCTCTGCTGAATTTTTGGGTGACTATAGCATTACAGCTTTACAATGCAACTGCATACATATCTACTCAGGAACAAGTCACATTTACTTCAACAGAGCTTTCTCCCAAGCAAGTGAGTAAAGGATTGCAACTCTGAGTACCTAAAACAGCTGCCTGGATGTTCTGTCCAATAACATCTGGAAAGCCACACAATCCTCACCACAGTCTTTTAAAACAATTGCAATGCTCAATCCCAGAAAAACTTCAGTACCTGGGAAAAAAAATTATCTAGAGAGTTGGTGATTTATCCTCTGGATGTCTTCAAAAAGAGGCTAGACAGCTACCTGCTGTGGATGATCTAGCTGGAGATCCTGCACTGAACAACTCTATGATTCTGTGGTTCTGCATTAAGGAATGACTGTTCCCATCTCTTCCTTACCCTTGCTGTCTTTCTCTTTGTCTTTCACATACAGAGTAGTGTTTTAAGATCAAAAACCGTATCACTACTGTCATCTGAAGCAAGAATAGCAATGAAAACAGGTCTTGTTCCTTCTTTGTAGAATTCACTTCATAAGGAACTCTACCAGTACCAGCTTCCCCATTAGGCAGAGGGGGTACCTGATTTGGTGTTGTGTAGTTAATTGCCACCAAGTCAGCCTCAAGTAATGGCAACCTTATGAAGGAGAGACCTCACAGTTTCTCTGTTATCAATAGCGCTGCTCAAGTCTTGCACATTTTCTTAATGGAGTCTACCCACCTGTGATGTGGTCTTCCTCTTTTTCTACTGCTTTCCACTTTACCAAGCATTAATGATTCTTCTAATGATTCAGGGTGCCTCATGATATCTCCAAAGTATGTTAGTTTCATTGTAATCATGTTGACTTCCAGGCAGAATGCAGGCTTGATTTACTATTGGACTATTTGTCTTTTTGGCAGTCCATGGTATCCATAGAACTCTCATCTAGCACTACATTTCAAATGAATTGATCCAATCAGCTTTCTTCACCATCCAGCTTTCACAAACAAACACAGAAATCAGAAATACAATCCTGACTTTGGTATTCAGTTATATATCTTTACATTTGAAGATTTACACCTGATTTAGGTAACTGATTTGGACTGGGAAGTTTGACAATTAGTTAATTTATTATGAAAGTATTTTTATTGCTAGGAAGGGCAAGATATGCCTGTGGAATGTTCTGCTCTCAGTGTCCAAATACTCATATTCAGTCTTCACTAGCCTTTCCACTTTGACTTTGGGAAGAAGGGCAGGGGATACCCTTTCATGCTCCAGAGTCTGGTGGTGGGTGAGCCAGCCAAGCTAACTTTAGTGGAATAACAGTAAAGACTGTACTCCTCTGACATGTTTTTGAGCTCAAGCAACCGTTTAATTATGTTCCATGTTGCACTTAATGTTATGAAGGATCGAATTAGGGGAAATTATGATTAGCTCAAATATGCAAGAGTGAGGTTTTAACAAAGCCCTGCAAGGTCAGGTACCGATATGTATACCAGAGGATGAAGGAATCCCACACTGGATGATGCTGAGGCAAGTTTCTTCAATTAAAGTCTAAATATTTATTAAAAGGGAAAACTGCTCACACACAAATATGGCACTCGCACACACTGCACAC